TTGGCATTATTGGCCCGTCAGCGTGAAGAGGAACACTGACGAATTTTGACAATTAATGAAAAACTGGAAGTGACATTTAGATTTCCCAAATAAGTTTTGCAAAATGCTTTTATTGGAAAACCCTATGACTAAGTAATCAGAGGAGAAAAGACGAACTTCAGAATTGTTGACAAGCCGACCGCCAGTCAATAGAGTATTAGTCAAAGCGCCTGGAAAAATGATAGCTGAATAATTTGAGAATCGGACTTGGAATCATAGCTAGTTCAAGGATTCTGATCTCCGGATTTATGTTGGCAAAAGAGCTGGACGAGGGGGAAGAAGGAGGAAAAAATGGAGAAATTGCTTTTTTGGTTTTTACAAAAAAAAAAAAATTGGGATTTTGCCAATACTGAAATTAAATTTCTACAAATTTTTTTTTCAGTTATTGTTAGTCTCAGTCTATGATTTATGTGTGCAAATAAAACAAAGAACATATTCCAGGCGAGTCATTATCACATCAAATATGCGAAAATCATCTCCATGGCCATCGCATATCGGTGTGCTGGAAGCATGGCCGGAAAAAGATTTATGGCACAGTGAGCATTTCTCAGCCAAAGAATTTAGCGAAGGCTCATTTGAAATTGTCAAAAATCGACGAAAAGAAAAATTGAAATTGAAATATACCTGGAAACGAGTATGTTTTTTTTTTTAACTTTTATTTATGAGGAATAACAAATTCGCATAGAGATGCGAGTCAAATAAATAGAATGAAGCATGCTAAATGTAATTAAGTCAAATTGTTGATGGAGGAATGACCAAAAACTGCATGTGTATGTGGGACGCTGAATGGGAGGAGTTAGAATTGGGTTTTTTTTAAAGGAAGTTGATGAGAATAGAGGTTATGATTAATCATGATTAAAATCAAAACAAGAAAGGCGTGAAATGGGGGGATTGATGGAAGGAAAATGAACTAAAAATGGAAAGTTAAGACGTTTCGGTCCATTAAGTATTATAAAAATTTTAAAAATACAAACAATGAATATTCCTGACTAGGAGATCGGAAGATTGCGAGGACCAGAAATTGTCTATGCGTTAACATATACAGTTTGTTTGGCGTTGCTGGCCCACCATGGAGAGGGAAAACGATCAAATTTTGATAATTAATGAAAACACTGAAAGTGCCATTTAGATCTCCCATATAACCGGTGAAATTGTACACGACTTAACTCAGCATTGCAGTTTGAACCTGGTCAGCACTGTGGTGATTGCGCGACCATAATTTGGAGGTAAAGAAACAGAGGACAGGAAAGAATGATGGGGAGAAAATAGAGGAGATAGGGACCAAGGCCGTCCAAACAGTCGGTGTGAGGATCTCATCTTCATGCTGTTACTGGGATGCACGCACACTCCTCTATGTACACCACCTTACGTATATCATAAGGACCAGGAATTGGTTAAAACTGATGCTAACTGACGATTTCAGATGACATTACTAAGCTCTCATAGACAAGCAAGAGCTGTATAAGGAAGAAAACAACAGCTGTAGTAGAAAGTTATAATAAGAAGGAATGAAATAAAGTGAAAGAAAAAAAAGGTGAGAAATGAAAATTAGGAAATTTTCGAGTTTATTTTAATGGTAAGAAGTGTTTCGGTCCATTAAGTCGTATACATTTATTACCATTACCAAAACTGGATCTCCTCAGTAACGGCGATTGTGGTAATTGAAAAGTTAGTGAAAGTTTAGTTTAAAATAACTTTCTAGTAGGTTTAGTAACTTATTCTGAATATGTGAAGTTTTTTTTTCTTTTTGTACGATTACTTCTTTATTTTATGCCAACCTTTCAGCTCAAAAATGCACCATTTGTTGTTG